CCTCCACCCGCCCCCCCCCCCACTCTAACCCACCAGCTCCCACTCCCCTCCCGGAGCCGGGGAGAGAACCCAGGCATCAGTAGCAGGTGAAAAGGGTAGGAAAAAATGGTCAGTGTTCACAGTGGGGTCCCTGGGGGCTCTGCAGCGGGATGAGGGCTGGCCAGCGTCCTTATCCACAGGGTGCCCCATGAGGTGACAACATTTGTCGAGACAAAATTACTGAGGCTAGTTCCCCCTGAAGCAGATGAAGGGATGTGTCACAACTGGGCAACACAACGGCAGAGGAAACCCAGTGCCGATCAGTGCATGGGAGAACATAATCCCAACACTACCTATAAAATGATGGGGTCTAAATTGGTTGATACTACACAAGAGAGATCTTGGAGTCACTGTGGATAGTTCTCGGAAAACATCCGCTCAGTGTGCAACCACAGTCAGAAAAGCCAACAGAACGCTGGGAATCATTAAGAAAGGGATAGAGCATAAGAAAATATCCTGTTGCCTCTCTAGAAATCCAGGGTTTGCCCACACCTTGAATACTGCGTGCAGATGTGGTCGCCCCATCTCAAAAAAGATTGATTGGCATCGGAAACGGTTCAAAAAAAGGGCAAGAAAAATGATGAGGGGTCTGGAACGGCTTCTGTACGAGGAAAGATTAGTAACTTTTCAGCTTGGAAAAGAGACGGCTAAGGGGAGATAGGCGTGAGGTCTATAAACTCATGACGGGTGTAGAGGAAATGGATAAGGAAGTGTTTACTACTTCTCCAAACACAAGAGCTAGGAGTCACCCAATGAAAAGAATAGGCAGCAGGTTGAAAACAAACAAAAGGACGGATTTCTTCACCCAACGCACAGTCAACCTGTGCCTTGAGGATGTTGATGTTGTGAAGGCCAAGACCGTAACAGGGGTCAAAAAAGAACTGGAGAAGTTCATGGAGGACGGGTCCATCAGTGGCTATTAGCCAGGATGGGCAGGGATGGTGCCCCTAGCCTCGGTTTGCCAGACGCTGGGAATGGGCGACAGGGGATGGGTCACTGGATGATTCCCTGTTCTGTTCATTCCCTCTGGGGCACCTGGCACTGGCCGCTATCAGAAGACAGGACACTGGGCTAGATGGACCTTTGGTCTGACCCAGTACGGCCGTTCTTATGTTCTTCTATCTATCTATCCCCATCCACCCACTCAATGTGCAGCAGTGTCAAAAAATGTTGGGGACCGTCACGCAAAGGAGAGATAATTGGACAGAAAATCTCATGTTGCCGCTAGATAAATCCATGGGATGCCCGCATCTTGAAGCTGTGCAGATATGGTCGCCCCGTCTCCAAAAAAGATCGATTGGGATTGGAAAAGGTTCAGAAAAGGGCAACAAACATGATTCGGGGTCTGGAACGGCTGCCGTGTGAGGAGAGATGAACAAGACCAGAACTTTTCAGCTTGGAAAAGAGACGGTGAAGGCAGGATTTGACACAGGTCTATAAAATCGTGTTGAGTGTGGAGAAAGTCAATAAGGAAGTGGTATTTCCTCCTTCTCACATGAAAACTAGGGGTCGGCAAACAAAATGAATAGGCAGCAGTTTCCGAACAAAAGAAAGGAAGTATTTTGTCACGCAACGCACAGTTGATCTGTGGAACTCCTCGCTAGGGGATGTGGCGAAGGCCAAATGTATAACTGGCCTCCACAACGAATTTGATAAGTTGTTGGTGGACTGGTCCATCAATGGGTGTTTGCTAAGAAGGGCCAGGGGGCAACCCTGTGCTCTGGGGGTCCCTAAGCCTCCAAGCGGCAGATGCTGGCAGTGGATGCTGATTGCTAATCCCTCTGAACCACTGTCAGAAGACAGGACACTGGGCTAGAGGGACCATTGGTCTAACCCTTAAGAGTCTTGCCTCCCAGCTCCCCCTGCTCTATCCCACCAGCCCCCACTCCCCTCCCAGAGCTGGGAAGAGATCCCAGGAGTCCTGGCTCCCAGCCCCCCCTGCTCTAACCACCAGTCCCTGCTCCCCTCCCAGAGCCAGGGAGAGAACCCAGGAGTCCTGGCTCCCAGCCCTCCCTGCTCTAACCACTAGCCCCCACTCTCCATATAAATCTTTGTAAACCATTTTTCACCATAGTAGCCTAAAGCTATAGATGCTTTGGGTTAATTACAACCTTGGTAAAGAGCATCTCATTCCATCTTTGTTAATTTGCCCTGGGGAGGGAAATCTAGGATCAAAGCAGGGTGGGGGTGGGGAGCCAGGACTCCTGGGTTCTCTGCCCAGGTCTGGGAGGGCAGGTGGGGGGGGGGGGGCGTGGTAGGTCAGAGCAGGGGGGCTGGGAGCCAGGACTCCTGGGTTCTATCCCTGGTTCTGCCCCTCCCTGCCTCAGTTTTCCCAGTTATAAAGCAAGGGGGGGGGCATGATCATCCCCTTCTGTTCTGCACCTGCAAGATTAAATCCTCCATTTGCCATGTGTCGCGTCACCTGGGGGCGGGGGCAACCGGAGCAGGAGACTTTGCCCCCATGGTGCCCGGTGCATAAATTTAAAAACAAACACCCCAGCTCCTGCTTCCCACCAGCCACTGATTCTCGCCCGCCCCCCCCCGGCCCAGCCCCAGGGTGAGTCAAGCAGTTTGCTCTCAATTCCCTGTCCCCGGCCAGCCCCACCCTCTGTGCTCTCCCCAGGCCCCTCCCCAGAGACAGGTGGAACCACCAGATCCAGGAGTTTCAGTGAAACTGATACAGAGACAGGAAATCTCCCTGGGAGGGGAGCGGGGACTAGTGGTTAGAGCTGGGGGGGGGGGCTGGGAGCAAGGACTTCTGGGTTCTCTCCCAGCTCTGGGAGGAGAGTGACCCTGAGTTTCAATAACCACCCTCAGGCTGTCCATGACACATCCAGTTTCTCCAGTCCAGGAGCAGTTTGAAATAAGCTGGGTGTGGTGTTTACCTTCCAGGCATTACTGCCTTGAGACTGCTAAACTCCCATGTCAGCCCCTGCCCAGCCCCCCCCTTCATCACCATCCTCTGTGACCCAAGACACAGCCCTGCCCCCAGTCCCATTCAACCCCAACACCAGAGCTATCCACACAGCATTAGATAACCTTTCCCCTCACTGCGCCCCCAGGCTCTAACCACCAGCCGCCACACCCCTCCCAGAGCGGGGGAGAGAACCCAGGAGTCCTGGCTCCCAGCCCCCTGCTCTAACCCACCAGCCCCCACTCCCT